CAAACACAAGAACTTGATACAGCAATATAATTCATAAGTCTTCAATGAAAAACCTTATTAATCATATATATCTTCCATCAAAGAAATATTACGAAGGAAAAAAAAGAATTTAATTTAAAATGAGATAAAACTAAAATGGATTAAGAATAAAATTAAAATAAAATAGTCCTATGAAAGATTAATTCAAGGACCAAGAAGAACTTTTCACTCTCTTTCTCTCTCTGCGCAATAGCGCACATATACATATATGTACATGTATGTATGTATGTGTATTGGGAGAGCGGAAAGTTTCGTCGTACTTTGGAACAAGACAGCCGTCTGTCGCTTTCATCAATCGAGAACTAAATAACGACTTTACCAAAAAACGAATTATAATGAAATTTCTTGATTCGTTCATATATATGTATACATTGTATGTATTACATTGTTGGAGAATCTAAAAATTTTTATACAACCCCAAAGCATTTCCACACACTTTATGACGAACCATGTATTATTTCGTCGAAAAAAGATACGGTAAAGATCCGTTGAAAGATCCACATATATGCATATAATTTTTCTTTTGAGAAATAACACATCTCCAACGCAGATTGGCAAACAGTTCATTATTCGATCCAGTACAAGTCAATTCGCGAACCAACGCAACTCTCCGCAACTGCCCGAAAACACCGTTACACCAAGCGAGCGTATAATTAAAAATCCCACTCACTTATCAGGAGATGACGGGGGAGTGAGCGCGACGGTGCTGAGCGCGGCAGCATCGGCCGACGACGTATTCTCGTTGTTGGTCGTCGACGGATTAAGGATATGCGCGGCATTTGCAGAATTCGTCGACGCGGCAGCGTTTCCCTGTGCCTCTGCTCCAGTACTCGCTCCAGGACTAGCGGACCTACTGGCGGTGTTTATCGCTGCTGACGCAGATGCTGCAGATTGCTGTTGCTGCAATTGAGGTTGTGGCTGGTTACCACTTTCTTTATCCTTGACGATGGCCTTGAACTTGGCGGTACCCTTGACAACATCGGACAATCGGTTCTGCGATGAAGACTCCATGCCGACAGTGCCGGTGCTGACACCGCTGCCTACATCAGTCGACATTTTGCTATGGTCGGCGTCGAGGCCGGGCAGGGGCGGAAAAGCGGCTGCTTCGAGGTCGAACTGCACACCGCTACTGCGGCCGCCGCCACAGCTGCTGTTGCTGCCGCTGCCTCCGCTCGCTGGCAAAGACTCCTTAATCGCCGGTAGCGGATGGTTGTTCCCGGTGGTTACCTTCGTGTCCTGATCTTTGGTCCTGCGGTGGATACGATGGCGGGCAAACGAAGGCGCTGAGGAGGATGCGGAGGAGGAGGGCTCGACCGTCGCGGTTGTATCCTGATCCTGCGTGGAGGACAACGAGGAGGAAGCTCCCTTCGCATGCTCGACAGACGATACGGCAGACGACGAGGAATGGAACTTTGTGCCGGACTGGTAGGAAGAAGAGGATGAAGATGCGGGCGGTTTCGAAGGAGGCAAGCTCGAAGCATGGTAAGTGGACGTGGAGGAGCTCAAGGATACGCTATTGTTACCACCGCCAACAGTCATAGGAGGATGAGAGCTACGATTACTTAATGGCGGCATAGACGACGGCTGATGATGGTGATGATGGTGATGGTGATGATGATGATTGTTACTGTTGTTGCTGGGATTGGCCGGATCTATTAAACAGCTTCGATCAGAGCCGTTTCTCTGTCTATTTCTATATAAAGAAAAACAAATATTAAATATTACATTCATACAAAAACAAATATTCAAGAAAATAAAAAATTACAGATCTATACCTATGCCGAGGATTGTATCTCGTATTTGAACGCGTGAACGTATTGTGCGGTGTGATTCCGTTCATCGTAAATACACTGGACATTTCAAAATAAGCGGTACTGGTATGTCCCCAAGGCATCATACCGGCAGGATAGAACGGTTGATGCTGAAAGAAAAATGACATTCTCGATTCGTAAGAATTTTATCTTACATATGATAAATTATTTAAGGTATTTATAGAAGAGCTTGTTACGCAAACATTTGTAATTAGTATACTCACATAAACAACTTGATTTGCGTACGCCGGTATAGTTGTCTGAGGCATGGTCGTGCCATTGGTATAAAGAAAACGTTGCTGTCCAGCGGTATAACTATTCGGATCATAGACAGGAGGAGGGGGTGTAGTTCTGTAGCCATTCTTTATACCACCTACACTGGCTACCGTTGGTATCGGTAGCCTGTTCATTGGTTTAGCTTTAATTCTCGCCATTATCGGCTTTCCCTGGATTTAACAATCAAAATAGAAATTACGGACTCAAATCTACACTGTGTATCGTCCTATAATTATAAATCTAATTATAAACTAGCTGAATCATCAAAATCACCGGTGAACATTTTCCTTCGCACTCCATTGTCGATTATTCAAACAAAATCATATAAGCTTTGACTACGACGTACCTGAAATTCTCGAACCTCTTCACGTAAAAATCGGTAGGCCTTTTGAGCATCCTCGTCGGACTCGAATGTCACGTACCACGAATTATTGTGAGCAAACTCGCACGAAATAATTCTCGGGCAACCCTCTCCAGAAAATAAATTCTACAATAAAAAATTAAGAAACGTTAAAGAGTCGGTTTTTTGACTTTTTATAAAATCATAGAATTGATGTTGGCACGCACCTTCACGTCTTCCAATGGGGTGCTATCTGGTATTTCACGAAGTATCACGATACATCGTTTGTGATTGGGCCTCACTTTCTGTCCTTCTTCGTCAACTTGGACATTAGGAGACTCCCTCAACACCTCTGTTATAAGTTTAATATCTTTCGTCAGCTTTTTCACTTGATTAAAATTCGCTACTGTCCATATCGGCACATACTGATCATTATCCATTTGTGACAACAAATAGGTATCGTTGGCTAAATTCTCTCTGGAAAGACAATTATATTGTTTATTCATATTATCAGACCTTGTTACAGATATTCTCATGCTTGCATGTGCAACTTGTACATTTTATCGTAATAAAATACGCAATTAATCAATGAAAAACAGTAATTGTATTTTTGGACGTTTTGGATGAAATTTTTTTGTCCAAAGCAGTTAATGACACATAATAATAAAACATGCTGTTAAAATAATTGACTTTTGTGTTTGTATATTAATATATAATTTTACATTCTCATTCTAGTTTTCGTAAAAGATTACTATAAATAATGTTTCCTGAATTTATGACTTTACAATTATATTTTTCTTATAATATATATCTGTACAAAATTATTTTAAGACTATTGAAGTTCTACTAAATTCCCTTTAACTGAAAGTTTAACAACCAGATAACTAAAATAATTGTAGGTTAATAGTAGTTTTACCTAATCATTAAAATTATGTATGCGACCAAAGGTCACTTTTTAAGGAAACAAATGAGGAAATTAAAAGAAAAAAACCTCTTATAATCAATACCAAAATGGAAATGACGCGTGATTTTATATGAGACTCGTAGATGACGATAGGTTTTGGATTCAAATCCAATCTTCATATTTATACGCTTCAGTTTATAAAACTTTGATTACTATGCGATTCTAAATTATTTTAGGAACAATAAAACTGATACATACAATCGATGTAAATGTTATGTATTTGCAAAATCACTGTGCAATTTCATGCAATTATAAACGAAAGAGATTTCAGCATACCTGGAGAAATAGTACTCTAGTTGTGAAGAGAGCATTTGCTTAAGCTGTTCCAAGGGTATACCGGGAACATTAAGATCCGTCATCGGTACAGATGGTGAAGCGGCAGAAGCGTCGCCCAGAGCGGCGACATCCACTGGACTGTATCCGATAGCACCTCCGTGCATGCTTATAGCGTGTTGAGTTGGTTCCAGGTTGCCGACACCAGCGTCGAGAATCAATTCGCTGCCACTTGGCGCACCGTTCATGACTCCGTAGTCTATGTTAGGCACGCCACCACCAATCGCGCCTGCAACCTGTGGACCCAGAGGTTCAGGGGTGGCTGGGTAGACCGCCCCCGATGGCAGCTTCCCGATGTCCCCATTCATGTAAACGTACCCTGTAAAATGAGATATTTGTAACTTTAGCGTTCTTCACTTCTACATAAAAATTCTTGTGCTACAATATAATTTATTGCTCTAATAATGAATTTGTTAATGCAATTAGATATTCTGTAGAATAATATTTATTTTAAATAAAATTCCATTGTCTCCATTTTTATTATAATTTTTCAAATTAATATAATTTAAGTTCTAATTAGACTTTGGAATAATACATCTAACCTAATCTGTACATGACGGTTATATATTCCAACTATACTGCATTAAATATGGCTCTCTACAATATCAAGTTGTTACATCACATATGACTTTCTTATACATTTATGCTTACAATTTAATGTAACAAACTGATTGGTGCCCAATTATAACACTATAAATAATAATGATCTTTACACAAATTTATCAAGTTTAAAATATACAGCAACTTTTATATCATAGTTCAGAAAATAGCATTCTACAAAATTTCTAGTCATCTTCTATAAAATAATGTCACTTG